CTCTAGGAATAACCGTTCACACTTAGTCACTGGTGTCCGAATCATTATGATTAGCAATCATTGACAAGTGGACTGAATCATGTTGGTAGGTGTAGACTACCTGGTTGGGGACCGCGAGATGATAGCAACCAATTATTAGAGGCCTTGAATGACATGGCTCAAAATCGTTTGTAATGGCGCAGGTGCATACACTCTTTGTGTTCTCCCAAATTTTGATCTCCTGAATCCTCCTTGTCTCTTATTTTTCTCCTCTCAAATTTACTTCACTGTATTATACTCATTAAGTAACATCTCCAAACACTAATCTTCCCGATTACTGCTTATACTCTTGCTACCTCTACCACTACGGGATTTGAATCGACCACTGCATCTCTGTGCTAATGTGGTGTGGCAACTCGAACTGATGTACGTACGTACAAAGTTCTACGTTGTTACTGACTGACTGAATTCCAAAGAAAATTCAAACACATTCGAAAATTATTCCATGAAAATGTCAATGAATGGTTCATCGAAGAGTATTACAAATTTGTATGATCCAATTACTTTTCCTACTTTTTCTTCTTCTAAATCCTCTCTTAAACTAACTAAGCAATGATAATGTACTCATAAAACTAACACACAATCGTTAGTAATATTAACCTCTTTGTTATTCTCTCTTGGGAGGAAGATAAAAAAATCAGCATTAAAATTTATGTATTAAAAATATATTATGTGATTTAAACAATTGGTGAGACTATAATTTATGGACGACCTTTGAGCGACGCAGAAGTAACCTTGAGAGTGTTTACCTACTTACTAGGGCTAACTAAATGTGGGTTGTGAAGCAGTTTAAAGAATAACGATTATGATTGAGAGCTGATGGTTAGGATTAGGTATTAGATTTATGGTTTTTCATCATGAACTGACATCAACTAAAGTGCCAGAACACTATTTGGCCAAATGGATGAGTGAATTTTGCGCCATGATAAAACACCTGTTGTCCTAAATCTGATTGGTTCGTCCCATAAATTATAGTTTCGCTATAATTTAAGGTCTATTATTTACTTATTCACCCCCAAACGCCCTGGAGAATGTCAGCTCTTCCATTTGAAATACTCACACATGTTCACGCGTATACAGCCACTGATCAGGGAAATCCTACTCACTGTCTTCTAATGGTAGGGGTGTTGTTTACGAAATTCAGAGGACGAAAAGCGAGTTTCAGATGCATTAACCGTGTCAATGAATATAGCTTACACACCTATTGTTGGTCACCGGCTACCATGGAAATTAAACCTATACGTAAAATTGCTCGGAGAGTGGAACTTTAAGAGAACCACCTACTTCAGTTTGTGTACCTGGACAGTACTCCAACCATCAAATAAATTGAATGATGAAGTATGGTGCATATCTCTGTCTGGTGCTCCCCTTGTGGTAATATTCATGTGTTTAAATAAATAAAATACAAATTCTTATTACTCAACATATTACATTATGATATACTTGATCAGAGATAATAACAGATGATAATGTGATAAAACTTATTATTATTATTCAAGGTCAGAGAATAAACGAACCAATAACATTTAAATGGAATGAGTGGGAGTGACAGGTCTAGTTACATAGATAGTTTATATTGAATAAGATTGTGCTGTAGTATCCATGTGACAGTAGTGTAATTTTATGTAAGTACAGATATATATATATATATATATATATATATATATATATAATATAAGAGAAATAAATGAACTCTCGTGATGAAGTTACCTCCGGCAATCATTATAAATTGTATTCTTTATTTGTTGTAGTACAATCAATTCAATTTATACAATATCTCTTTCTTAACAATTTAGAAATATTTTCTAGTTTGAGTTAATATCAGTAAGAAAGAAAAGAGATGGTGAAGAAGATTTGTAGCTCAGGTGGATGATTTTGATGGAGCTTCGTTCTTTTATCTGAATGATTTGGTTGTGGAGCTTTCATCGTTCCTCTGGACGACATCATCATCAGCAGAAACTTTAGATAGAAGTGTGAAGTGTTCGAATTTCTCCGTCGAGGTGCACAGAACAAGCTGTGAAACGCACATGGAGAAATTCGAACACCTCTATCTGAAGTTAGTGCTGATGATGTCGTTCAGAAGAACGATGAAAGCTCCACGACCAAACCATCCAGTTCAGAGAACAAAACTCCATCAAAAAAAAGAGAGAAAAGAATTGAAGAAGAACAACTCATGTGTAGTTAGTTGATCTTTACAAATTCATTCTGAATAATGCACTTGAATATGAAAAAGAAAACAATACAGACCAACAATATCAAGATTGATAAGATTAAATGAAATAACAATGTCATTTCTCTCATTCAGAGCTAGCAACAATTATCTATTTGTACAAGTAGTTTAGATAGTGTTTTATACTCTAGATGATATCTAGACCAACGGAAACGATGAGTTGTGAATTAGAATATAAATACACTAGATTGATATTTATTCAAAATAAAACTAAAAGATTAAATGTTGAAAGGTTCCAAAATGAGTTCTAAATATCACGAAATAAACTTAGAATAATGAATTAATAACCTTCAAGGATGATGTTTTCTATTAGATAAAATCATCAGATTCAAATGCAAAGGAGCTTCGGTTTCCGGCTAAATATATCTGCCCAACATTAAAAATTGGGTAAGGAAAAACTGAGGCTGTCGCAATGTGTTCTTGATAAGTTTATGAGGGGATTCTGACGCGAGTGGTCAAGGTCATAGTCATGCTATTGGTTTTTATATTGTTATTATTAACGGCTGGAAGGCAACAAAAAGACCGCAGTTGTTCTGATTTCATCTTTACTCAGTGACAGATTTAGTGAATAAGCGGCGTCCTAAACGTGGTGAAGTAAGGGAAGGAAAATTTTAAAAAAGGAATTTTAATTTTTAAGGGAAGGGCCCCCTTGTTGCTCCACACTGTAAGCCCACACAGAATTACTTTGTTGCCCATTTCACCCCCTACACCGGTTAGCTATAGACAATTGCCACTAACTGTTATAGTGTTCCCTGGCATTACAATGACTATTGACTATAGATCGATCGATAGCTTTCATGGCAAAGAACTACAGTAACCTACTGAAAGGTCCTAGATTCAAATACTATTATTGAAATCATAGCTTGTAATCTACAGTGATCTATGATTGGTTACTTTGAATGATGTTCTATCCAAGTTTATCTTTTTAGCTAAGCCTTTAATAGTTCTAACCGGTTCAGAATATAGAAATGACAATGATTTTGATAAATTACATAGAATTCTAAACACCTTGAATGAAAATATGTTAATGTTTGGGTTGTGTACTTCATATAACTGCAAAATGTTACTTTAGAACGTTTTAAAGTTAATGCCAAGTTTAACTACAGACAGTAATGAAATCAGGAATGTTGACTCATTGAATAATCTTGAAAGTATCAACAGTTTAAGCTGACAAAATCTCAACACGTACAAAAAAAAATTAAGGTATGATACTTTTTTTTTAAACAAAAATTTACACCGTCTATATTACAAATGAGATATATGTATGCTTAATAAGATGTGAGCATACTACTACTCCGTATTAGATAACGTTATGTATTATACTTTTTTTTTTACACATTACCACATTTATTCCATAAAAGAAGAAAATATCTATACGTGAAACTACTAATACTACTATTGTCGGTCAGTCAGCTACAACGTAGGACCAGGCACATATATGCATCGGTCCAAGTTACCACACCTCATTAACACAACAAGATGGACAGCGGATTCATAAAAGTAGATATGCAAAATGAAATAAACTATATTAGTTGTGTTATAATGGAATCTTTCTTTTTATATTTAAGAAACTTTTTAAAACAATCCAAATCCTTAATGGATATGACCTCATAAAACATTACAAAGAAGATAAGAATGTAGTGAAAATAAAAATTTAAAAAAAATAATGATAATTACATAGTAACTATCGATCCGAAGGACTAATAATTCACTCACTAAAGGTTTTTTTATATAAATATACACTTAAGTCATATAAGAAGATCTACCAAGAGTGCTAGGAGCTACAACATTATGTGCACCAAGAAAAGTAATAATACTTGACTGGTTATAAATTGAAATAGAGCGAAGTAGGAATTCTACTGAATGAGATAGTCTAACTACTAAAATATCACTAGATACACTTAAAAAAAACTATTAGCCTCATCTATTTTGGGACTCGTCAGTTGATTGGAGAATACAATACAATACATGCTGGTACATTTATTGTGATAAGATGAATTGAACTAGTAGAAGAATCGAAAAACGGCGAGAGGTTAAGGAGTTAAGTGACATAAAATAAAATGTAGAGTGGCGGTGTACAATGAATTTTCCAGTGATAAATGTTGTAAGAGTTAGAGAAAATCGAAAACGAAATAGAATGTACGAGTCATATATCAAAAAAATAGGCAACTCCTATGAGATTTTACAATAGTTCCATAAGAATGATATATGTATGTTTGTGTCAAAACAACAAACAAGATGTTACATATTGTGCTGGTTTTGAACATTAAATTCATCTCGATTGATTGAAGGATCGATACGACAAAAACTACATTAGGGACTGATCTACTTATTGCCAATTGTTTAAGTAAACAGATTTAAGGCAACCCATAGCAGTTCCAGGAGATGTTATAATATGCTCAGATTTGAATGGGGTTCGAGTCTGAAATCCGATGTTTGAAAATCAAGTAATCTAACTACTACTTTATGTGTATAAACCAATGCGTGTCTGAACTTAGTGGCCACGTGGATAACGGGATGGTCATCAGAGAGAACAATATTGGGTTCAAGTCCCAGAGTAAACATCAACTCTGGTTTGGAAAGTGCATCCAGTCGATGAGTCCTGAATAGGACGAAAGCCATGTCTTAGATTCCACGGTTAGCTATCATATATCTCTGCTTAAACATACGAGATAAAGTTTCTATGTAATTTTAACTAAAAATTAACTATATTTATAGAAAGTTACTAAAATTAACTTACTTGCAATGCCATATGTCGTACAGCATTGGTAATTTGTTCACGTGATGCTTTTGAGTAAGGCACAGCAGTGTTAAGTAGTTGAGCCGCCATAATAATCGAATGACTATGACTTCTTGAAGTAAATGAAGTTGGACAAAATGAATACCATGTTGGGCATATTGAATAATTTGTATCAGGTGTAGGATTCATATTCATCATTAAACCACTACTGGCACAACCACCATTTAAAGAATCATCATCCCAATTAGAAAGACTGAAGAATAGTGAAGAATGATCAAAACACATTGGATTGTCTATAGTAGACGGATTTGATTGATCAGTAGGACAAAGTTTATTGGTTGACAAAGATTTTGACATACGTGGAGTAACATTAGTTGATGTGTTTACATCTAATGTACCGACAGCTGTAAGTAAAGCTGGAGCAAGCCAACTAACAGCCTCTCTTGGATTTACGTAAGATGACCAATGATAAATTAAGTATAAACAAGCAGGTGGACCAACATGTAAAGCAGTTGTAACTGCCCATGCTAACATTTCACGTCGACGCCAGTGTACTGATCGGCTAAGTGTACGTAGAACAACTATTAAAGCTAAATGAAATGCAGTGCTAATAAGAAATATACGATCACGTGTGTAAAATGATTCAATTGTTGGATTAGTTGCAGTCGGTAACAATAAACCAGGTGGAGGATTAGAATTTAACAAGCAACCACATTCACTATAAGCAGATTCCAATAAATTGGTATTATTAGGTTTACGATTAACTGGTGATCTTAATTTCCAACCAACTGCTTCTGCAAATACCTGAAAAATACAAAATGAAACCAAGAGAAAAATTTTTTTTTAAATTGTTACTGGCCTTACGACAGATAAGAGAAAATAAACATTCCAAAAAGATAATAATAGTAACAATAATGGTAATAAAGTTTTTACAAAATAACTACAAAGATAAGCACATCAATTGAATTATCTTATATGGACGTTGTTTGTTCAATAAATACACAAACTTCGGTTCTATTTTGTCACACTCTTATTATATCTTCGTTTATATTGTTAGAAATATTCCTAGAAACAAACAGGCTTTTTAACTTCTAACTGATATTAGAATTTATTAGAATATTTGTATACCAATATTTTGCCCCAATTGGATTTATCAGCAAGGATTGGGAATTATTCTAGATTGGAAACTATACACACAAACAAAAGGCTGCACTCATTCGCCAGATCGACAATTTTAGATCCTTACTTCCTATTACATTTTGCTATCTTCATAGCCCTTGCTGAAACATTTGGTATATCAAAGGTGAGTTTTTTCGTTTAGTGAATTATCTTTACGAACAATCATCAAGTACTCCATAGATTTTATTCACAAGTTTCATCAATTACTTTAGTATTCAAGTCCTAGTATTTATTAAACAGATAGCCCCCAAATGCCCTGGTACGGCCGAGAGTCGGGAGAGTCCGCTTTCCCTTTCGAAATGCTCTCACATGGCCACGTGTACATAGCCTCTGCCAGGGAAGTCCTACTCTCACTACCTTCTCGTGACATTACTTTTGTTTACGAAATTGAGAGGACTAAAAGCGAACGTCCGGCGCTTTAACCGGGTTCGTGGACATGGAGAGTCCACCTAGGAGAGTTGGAAAACCCTGATTCTAAACCAATGGTGCACATGGGCTCCAGTATCCTGAAGGAACAAATGGTGTATGAACCAATCGTTGATCACCGACTTCCATGGGACTGCATCTCCTTATGATGCTCTACTGCTTTGTGGATCAGACCTTCAGGTCGAAGGCTCGGGGTGTGGTCCCCTAATAAAACCACCTGCTTCGGTTTGGGCAACCGGACAGTATCACAGCCCTCAAACATATCGAATGAGATTTGTGTGGCGCATATGTATTTGGTGCATTCTTGTACCAATATCTATGTGTTAAAATAAATAAATGAAACAGATGACAATGTGCCGGAAAACGTATTACTAACGAATGAATGTAAAGCTTATTTGCCAAGTGTACATATGTGTTTATTACACTGATAATACTAACCACAGCTGCTTAGATTGTAAGAAGTGGAAGAAAAAAAACAATGAATAAGTGAACATTCAATACAGATAGAAAGTTAACTGTTCAAATTACCGAATAAACAGTGATATTAACAAAAAAGCACATATATCGTATACACAGAAATAAAATGAAACAATCCAATGAAAATCATTTTTCTGTTTATAACAGTTTAATGTACTAACGATTATTGAATAGGATACTTACACAAAACAGATGAACGTATACGTGTAATTTTTATTTATTTATAGAAAATGACTGATAAAGGATTATGAGAAAAGATGAATGATGGCCTAGCAGTGGAATTCAGGAAACGCGTTATGTTCTATTTGGGGACTCGTTAGCTGAATTTACCTGCATCTCAGAGTTGACGTCCACTCCAGGACTTTGTCTTAAACATCAATGGGACGTTTCAAATCAGTCACTTAGTTACAACTTAGGACCAGGCACATATATGCATCGATCCAAGTTGCCATACCTCATTAGCACAACAAGATGTGGAGATTCAAGCAACCAATACAAATACGAATTAAATAAAAGACTGTTCGACATTATAGATATAATCTCTAAAACTATAATTTTATTCACAAACCAATCATGAGTTTGAATCATAATCATAGATCTTAACTCACTTGATATTGTTTACTTGAATCTTCCGATTGATGTTTAGAACTGTTATTGATCAGTCTCTCATTGGTATATGTGTATACTGTGCGTATTGCCTTAATTCACATGCATGATAAGCAAAGATGGATAGTGGCCAGCAACTGACGAGTCCTAAATAGGACGAAACGCGTATCAAACTGGATTCCACTGCTAGAGACTTCATTCACCCATCTGGCTAAATAGAGTTTTGGCATTGTAACTGATGTCAGTTCGTAATGACAACCCTAAATCTAAGTCCTAACCCTAACCATCAACTGTAAATCATAATCCTTATTCCTTAAACTGCTTTATAAACCCCATTTAGCTCTAGTAACTAGGTAGACACTATCAAGGTCACTTCAGTTTCGCTCAAAGGTCGTCCATAAATTATAGTTTCACCAATTTTACTAAGCATATCAAATTGTATTATGTAAACATGAAAGAGAATGATTTTCTGTGGAAAAAGTAATATTAAACATGATAAAAATATCCACTATTTACCTGTTGAGAAATAGCTAATAAACTAACAGCTGAATGAATATTTTGATTACAAATTTGTACAATTTGATCTAATCGATGAATATGTGATTTTGAGACACGAATCAATGCAACAGCCAATCTAGTTTGACGTAATTTCAATGTTTCTAAGCATCGACGATATTGTGGATTTTGATTTGATGATAAAATATTATTGTTATTATTATTCATATTATTGCCTACAATCAACTGACTATCATCGATTGTTGCGAATCGGTTATTACTATTGTTTAAAGTAGAATGAACAGGATTATTACTAGTAGTCATAGACGTTGGTAGTCCAACTGTCGGCGGTGATGTTGCTGTAACTGAAGATAACGGTGATGTGAACCAACGATTACTGTCAAGATTTTGTAAATTAAACATTGGATAAACAGGTGGGTTATTATTATTACTATTATTAAATTTCAAACAATTCTGTGTAGACATAGAGAATACAGATGGGAGCGGTGGTACAGATACATTCGGTATGGAAATCAAACAACGATCATAATCCGAACTGGTTGTTGTTGCTGCTGTGACTGGTCCCATCGAAATGAATTATTATTATTATTATTATTAATACTACTATGTGGGTGTGAATATCTTTGATGATTGTCATAATTCGCATTCATATACATATTTCCAGTGAATTGTGACGATGAGTCCATCATATTTCCAGTTATTATTGTTGTTCCCGTTGACGCTGTCGCCGTTGTTAATGAAGGGATACCAAACTCTTGATCACTAACTTCTGTATTTACAGCAAGAGCAGTTTCCACACTACCACTACCACCACCACCACCATTGCAAACTCTATTGTTAAGATTATTGTAATAATCCCAACAACCATGATGATTGTAATTCATACGTTGAGAATGCAAACAGCCTTGATTAATGCCGTTGGTGTTGGGATTATTGTTATTATTAATATTATTATTATTTAATAATAGTTGTGGTGAACTGTTACTTCGTGTCAAATGAGTTCCCATCATACTCGAATTATCCATTAATGAATAATTTTCAAGAACAGAAATCTAACAAACAAGAAAGAGGAGGAAAGGGAGAGAAAATGTGGGAAACAAAATAAAATGGATACTGGTAACAATTTGAACTTAAACAATAATCTTTACTTTCAACGTTATTCGATCGTATGTATGGGAGAAATTTATGTTTAAAGGATACAAAAGTTGAAAATAAATTGATTGACAATGATTATCTAATCAATTAGTAGTCAGCTATAATCAATATAGGATCTGGAATAAGAAGTTCATTAGTACAAGTTGTCATACCATAATAACACAATGAGATGAAGTCAATAGAGTTGAGTTTGAGGAACAAATATTATGAAACAATATTGTAGTTCAAGATGTAGTGATCTCTGCACCATTGTAATCGGTTCAAAGTCACATCACTAAACATCTTCAACTAATGCTCGAAAGTACCGACTGGAACCCAACTAAGTAATCAGTATCTTAATTTGGCTGTCCCCAGGTTTCTGCTAATCTATTCATACTCCAGTCAATATTAAGTGACGAGGTAGGCAGTGGTTGCAGATATGTAACATATATCCCATCTAGATAGAATATCAACTCATTACTTACAATTATCACCTGTGTATTACACTGTATAACTTATGAAGTAACATGGTTGATACCTTCATAACATTACATTTTTTTAAAAACTAGGAGTATTTCATGTAAACTGCACCTACACAAGCATACAAAACGACGAACGGTATCTTAGTGAAAAGAAGCAATTAATTTCAGGTAAGAAACTAGTTTTGACTAGTTTAATCAACATCATTTAATAGAATATCATTAACTCTCACAATAATAATAATAATAATAAATATTGAACTCATCACATCCAGTATTTTATAAGCCCCATATATCAGTACACAGGGAATTGGGGAGATTGTAGAACTTTCATAGCTTAAATCAAAAGCTGATTTTAGTTAGACCACTGTTCAAAACCTGAGAAGACTGGATAGCCGTTTTGTCCTAGTATGAGACTTTTCAACAGTGTTCATCAATGACCCTGAACATGAGACCTAGAGTCTTGCGCACGAGCGCTTACCTTTTAAACCATTAAGCCGGTATCCAACGGTATTAACAATTAACTTCAATTAAATCATTGAACAACCTTTATCCATTGACTGCAGAGTTATATACTAGAAAGAAACAACCGTCATCCAGTGCTTCCACGTTTTCACAATGTTAATCTAACTAAGGTTAGTTAGTGATAAAATTCCACATATGTTTAATAATTACAGATATTATATTATTTTTCCAACATATAATTAACACTTACCTCATTGCTCTTGTCACTAATGTAAATACCATATCATCAATACGAATTGAGGAAATATTATTGTTATTATTGGTACTACTACTACTACTACTACAACTACTGTTACTACTACTTCCACCATTATTGTTATTATTAAACGAATTTGTCCAACATGTGTTGAATGAAACTAATTGATTGATTTTTTGTGTATCCAATAAATAATTTAATACAAATTCAGCGACAGAATGAACTGGATAAGTATCTGAATGAACAATTATACCAAGTGATGACCACCACCATAGATTCATCAATGCAGTGGAATGATAATCAAATTTATTTAATATACGTAATGATGATGATGATGATGACAAAGACGATGGAGATGTTGATGATGTTATGGGTGGGCCTAATAATTGGCAAAGAATTTCACACATTGTTAATGCAGTAGTCACATCTTTTGGTATTGTATTTAATAATGTTAACAAACGTGTTTCTTGATGTTGACAAGCTAATAATCGACTAATTGATCCAACAAGACGACGTTGTTGAAACAAACTTAACAAACTGATCTGAAAAGAAGAAACATAGAAAAGATATACGATAATTCCATTCTACATTTTTCAGCAGGGGTTAAAAAAAAATAATAGACTTTGACTCAAAAACAAAATAACATTTGTTGTTTAGACTAAGAGATGCGTTACAATGAGATACTTTTCTTTCAGGAAAGGAGAGAGAGGATAATTTCGACAACAATTCAGTTTCTAGCATGTGATATAATGGATAATGAAGATAATTAAAAGAAAAAGGGGAGAAATATTTCACATTTGAATATCAAGAAGAAAAAGACTTTTCAGTTAAAAAAAAATCCCTATTTACTGCTAAGTAATTTTCATCTCCTTCTTTATCGTTCAAATTGTTTCAGTGAATCAATCAATGTTACACATGATCACATAGTTGTGATTAACCAACCTCCCAATATCAGTCGGTTATAACTGATACGATAGAGTTATAATAAATGCAAGTATACAAAGGTTCTCAATATCACACATTTCATCACATACATTAACACATACAAAAGGCAAAAGCATAAAGATGAAGAATATAAGAAGAAAGGTGACTGAACCAACTCCAATAGAAAATTGACTATTGACAAAATACATTGAATAATGAAGCAATTATTAAGTCATTGAAAATAGTGTTGTATCGTGTTACGCTTAAACATCTAGCTAATGCTAAAGGAGTAGAAAAACACAAGAGTAAGAGGAACTTCCTTGTTACTATTGTTCGTTCAATTAACAATGTTCAAATGTAAAACTACACTGATCTGATATTATTTGTTGCAGAATAAAAACATGATGAAAGCCAAAGAGCATTTGATTTTGAGTTCTTTTTTGTATGCATGTGTATATGTACATTTGCTAGTCAAATCCAGGATCATTCAATTTACATGATCGCCTCACACTGATATTATCGACTAGTCATAATTGATTGATCACTGGGTGGCGATCAATCTCATGAGTGTCTAGTCCTTATTACACAAGATCGAATCCGCCAGAGAGCACCAGTTCCCTCAAGATTACAAGTACACCTTGCTGACAAGTGTCAAGTAGCACGAAACCCGGATTCAGGGTTTCCTGTCGACTACTTCCAACCACCATCTAATTATCGACTAGTATTCTTTGTATAGAGAGACTTAAATAAATCTTATTGAAAATATCTTATATACTTAATAATATACGACATTTTCCTACACGATCAATGCATATTAAGTAGTAGGCTTTTTCATTATTCAACAGCTTAACTGTCCATCACGATAAGACTATTATTTCATGCACATATATATATATGCGTGTATGCTCGCTAATCCATAGGTTATGAATAGCTTTCAGGTCATTTCATTAAAAAAATACAATGACCTCTGATTAAACTTATAATAATCATGAATATTATTATCACTAAATGTAAAGTAGAAAATCAACGAAGATAAAAAAAATGAGAATTTCGGGAAACAGGATTTATAAATACTTAACCCTAAACTTATCTCCTACAAACACAAAAAAACAAACATGGGAACATGCTTTAATCGATATTTGATTGACATAGAACAACAGTGTAACCATAAATTAATTATACAGTTTGAAGAATGAAAATGTCTATGCATTCAGTTTCTAGTAATTTTATGTATAAGAAAAAATATATCACATTTAAACTTATTGGTAATTATATCTATCTATTGGGGTATTTCCCGCATGGGTTCGAATCCCATCCCCGTCGCCACTGATATGTCTTGTCGTTTAATGCTACTTTTTATATCTGGTCGTCGTTGTATTTTAGAGGTTAGTAAATCTCCACTTATACCAGTCTAGTGTTCTTACTTTCGTGTCGTGGGAATTGAAGAGGTCCCTCGTTTCGAATATAAATGATAAGCATTTCCAACACTACAATCAGTGAGGACCAGATATAAAAAGTATTATTAAACGACAAGGCATATCACTATATCAATGAAATAGTATCAGAAGACTTTTAAAATTCATCAGAATAACGATAGAAACAACAATAGGAAAACAAGACGACACAAATTCTCCCTACAGGAACAACAATATTTTTTATGCATGAGAAAGATATGAAATACTTTGATGTGTGTAAATGTGAATGTACTTCAGTGTAAAACTATTATTTAGTTATTGTTTTTCCTAAAATAAAAATAAATAGGTCAATTGTCTGAACACTATTTTTCTATTATCAGGTTATTAATTTTCAAAAGGCATTGGTACGAGTAGCCCGATAACCGGTTAGTACGCATGCACACATATATGCGTGAACGGACGGATGCAGTAACAATAAATGTGGTATAAAGTACCTTCTAATAATAATTGTAATAATGTTAACGCTGAACAGATTGAACAAATTGAAACTGGTCAGGGTTGATTTCCTACAGACAAACATCGACCGCTACCACCACTATCATATAATACATCAAATACAATATACTGTGGTATCATGTCATTATAGCTACAATGCATCTTGTTCGATAGAATTTGATTAACAACCAAAAGATTGATAGATCAGTGTCACTACTAGAAAACAGTACAAGAAATATGTTTTTTTTAGTTCAAGTTAATAGAAGATAGCGATTAGGATAAACAAAACTGATGATTATTTAATACGTTTACTCCTATAAGCTTAACATTTTATCATTAGATATGAATAAGGATTTTTTAAATAGAATATTATAAATATACTTTGGTATATATTGATATTTGAGACTGATATATGTATATTGAAATAGTAAATATTTGGTTGTATCTTCCAAACGAATGGGAAATGTACAGGTGTACAGGACTAAATCATTCAGCTCAGACAACAAAACTCCATCAAAATCATGGGATACAATGGACAGCTAGAATGTAGCTGGACGATCTAGACTTAGCAGATAATTTGGCTCTTTTATCGCACACGCAACAATAAATGCAAGGGAGTGGGAACAGTGTAGTAGTGACCTCAGCAGCAGTAGGACTCAACATACACAAAGGGAAAAGAAAGATTCTCTTATACAACACAACATTCACCAATCGAATCACACTTGACGGAGAAGCTTTAGAGGATGTAAAAACCTTTACATATTTGGGCAACATCATTGATGAACACGGTAGATCTGATGCAGATGTAAACGCGTAGATCAGCAAAGCAAGAGCAACATATCTATAACTAAAGAACATCTGGAACTTAAAACAACTGTCTGTTAACCAACACCAAGGTCAGAATTTTCAGTACAAATGTCAAGACAGTTCTACTGTATGGTGCGGAAATTTCCGGAACTATGAGAGCCATCATCCAGAATATAAAAGTGTTTATTAACAATTGTCTACGCAAAATACTTCGGATCCGTTGGCCAGACACGATCAGCAATAACCTACTATGGGAGAGAACAAACCAGATCTCAGTAGACGAAAAATCAGGAAGAAGCGCTGAAAGTAGATAGGACACACATTGAGAAAAGCACCCAACTGTGTCACAAGGCAAGCCCTCACATAGAATCCTGATGGCCAAAGGAAAAGAGGAAGACCGAAGAACAAATTACACCGAGAAACGGAGACAGACATGAGAAGAATGAATAACAATTGGATAGCACTAGAAAGGAAGGTCAAGGACAGAATAGGTTGGAGAATGCTGATCGGCGGTCTATGCTTCATTGGGAATAACAGGTGTAAGTAAATATTTGTAAGTCAGAATAAGAATTTAAGAGGTGTTGTATTCTCTGTGTGGCATGATTTAAGTTGTAAAGCTTTCATCATCAATATATATATATATATCAAAGAGAAGTATGTCTGGAAAAAACAATGAACGTTTCACAATTATAATATATCCAGCTCGATTAAGCTGAACTATATATATATAGAAGAGTTAGTAGTATTATTCAACTGTATAAATGAATATAAATATTCCAAAATTAAATGATTTAATGAATTGAAAAGAAAGAAAGGAAACAATGAACATTGGAAGAAAGAAAAATAAAAGGTGAATAAATCAATGAATGCACAACTAACTAGGTATTTCCCATTCTCTCGAACAAGATCAAGATAAACAAATTAAATAATCAGTAACCATATATTGTAATAACATCAATAAAAATGAAATGAAATTACAGTTAGATACATAGATGGATAGAACAAGAGTGTGTGTGTGTGTGTGGAGAGAGAGAGAGAGAGAGAAAGAAAGAAAGAAAGAGGTAAAGTTCACAAACCAAATATTAAACGTAAAATTTATGAAGAAAAAAAAGGGATTTCAGATAAAGGATGTATGTAAACATTCATTCAAACTATATATCTATATGGATAGGTGTATATTGATTTCTATGATCTGTTAATATGATAGATAAGCACCCATGCTGATAAATAAAGCTATGAATAAGTAAATAAACAAACAAATAAACCTACACATATACACGTATCTATCCATATACTGTTGTAAGAATGATAATCATTAACATAGATAAGTAAATGAATTTAGGACACATAAATAGAATAATAAATTGATAGGAAGAATAAAGAGGATAGTGACAATATATAGACTATGAAATGTATCAATATAGAAGATAGATAATCATGGAAATCAGACGGGAGAGAGAGAGAGAAAAAAAGAACAGAATTAAGACAATATATACATGAACAAAAGACATTATAATTTATTCTTGATTGATAATAATAAGTAATTACACTCAATATCTCTATGCATATATAGTAGAGACTTTAATGTTATCTATTTATTGAGAATAGATTTTACTGGTTGAAATCATGAGTCAATTGAAGCTAGACCACTATGGAAAACCTGGAAGCACTGGACAGCCGTTTCGTCCTAGCATGGGACTCCTCAGCAGTACGCATCCACGGTCCCCCCCCCGCGAGATTCGAACTTAGGACCTATCATTCTCGCGTCCGGCGCTTAACCAACTAGACCACTGAGCCGGCAACCAACGGTATTAATGTCTAACTTCAAATAATCCACGAAATTGAGTGACACATCCACCATTGTCTTCAGTGAGTTCCTATCTCACAACAGACCTGGTTGAACTCCATTGGTGGTAATGGCTTCTCACTAGAACTCCAGGAGTATTTCTTGAAATCAGTCACTAGTGAACAGGTGATTATTATCAGAATGGGTTTTGTGGAGATTTCAACCAGTGAAACTTCTAAAAATCTCCACAAAACCCATTCTGACAATAGATTTCAAGCAATATATTGCATTGAATACATATGATGATACAGGAAAAGAACCTGTGACCTATCTACATTAGTTAAAAGTTGACTGACTTGATTATGCGATATTCACTACTATTCATACAGAAAATATAATATGAACTGTAAGCATAATAATATAATTCAAACATTTCTCTAATTTGCTCGAATGGTAGATCAAACTAGAATAAGACTCGTAGAACACAAATTCAAAATGGTGCCTTTTTTAAATTGAGTTTTACATTGATGAATCTATACAATTAATAAGAAAATAGACTAAACATTGAATAACTTACTTTAACCGCTAAGCATAAATAGAATGATGCCTTTTCCATATGACCCCACGATGGTAAAGCAATTGGTGGTGTTTGATGATTTGCCGCTTCAACAACAATTGCAGCCGCATCTAATAAACATTCAACAAGACATAGTATAGGACGACCAGGAAGACCAATCCAACCAACATCTGTATGACTAGGACAATTTGTTGAAATTAAACCACAATTAATATCAGTTTCAGTGATTGGGAGGAATTCACCGGCAAACACATTAGGATTAGTTGAATATGACAAAGGAAGTGGTCTTGCATTAACGTGTCTATTCATTGGAGTTGGAGAGTTTATAGAACGATTATGATGACTAGGATGCATCATCATCATTATATTATTACTACTGCTACCATTGGCACAACCAACTGAACTCCCGATACCGTGAGGTGGTGGTGGACACGAATAAGACGAATAAGGCGAATTTGTATGGGGTATATGCTTATGATAGCTATGATGATTTGTGGTCGTAGGCTGATAAGGATTATGAAATGATACTGGAGAGATTGATGCAGGCGGTATAGGTGAACAATGTGGTGAACTAAATGGATGCGATTGATTTCCATATTGTTGACAGGATGAAGTTGATTTATATACATAAGACGGCTGATTAGACCAACAATTATTACTATTATTACTGGTATTGTTATTGTTACTACTATTACTACCACTACTACTGTTATTATTATTATTGATAATAATTGATTGATGATTAGTGCAAGATGGACCAGGACTTGGATTTGAATTCGGTGAAAGACCATGACGTCTAGTAGAGACAGGACGTGAATGATGAGTGACATTCACTGGTGGAGATAATGATGCTGGTCTAGGTGATGTGAGCCGATTAGAAGGAGAGAATTTCCCGTGATTTGGTATCATTGACGGGGAAGGAGGCATATTTGCTATTTAAAAAAACAATAAAATAATATGAAATGCCATCAAAATTATATATATATATATATATATATATATATATATATATATATATATATATATATATACTAAGCTACAATGAAACGTGACATCAATCCATGAACTTATCGATTGTTGGATCGACCCATGTTAGAAATAGAGACTACCTGGTTGGGGTCAGCGCGGTAGGCATAATAAATGGCTAGAGATTTTTGGTGATATATCTCTGAAGCGGTAATAGTAACACAGATGCATTCACTGTATCACCCCTTCGAACTTAAACGTTATTATCCCTTCACACATACCTTCCCACCCTATACTTTCGAACCATATCGCAAAGGTAAAGTCTTCATCATTCCCATTCCTATTACATTATTTCGATCTCGTTTACTATACATCTTTTTAATTCCAAACGTATATCTGTCTGTATAGAGTTTGTTACTGGTAAACTGCAGAGACGTTCTACAACTAAGATACAGACTTAAATAGTAATCATACACCAGCTGTCAAATTATACAATTTTTAAGTGAAAATAACCAATAATAACTGCAACTTACGTGAAGACAAATATCGTGATCCAGAATTATGCATTACATTATGTGGACTTATACCATTTACCCGAAGTGCTTGTCCATTTGGTGGTGTATTGAACAGCATACGACGTGCTACAATATCATTAGGATGGCAATTATTATTCCATGATGTATGTGAAGGAAATGTTTGTGGAGGACTACGTTGAACATTATTAATAATTGAAGTTGCAGCCAATGAAGTTTTCATTTTAACCGAACGTAATAAACGTTGACTAATAAACACAGCAAGTTGCAACGCTTGACTTAAATAACCATTACTTCGTAATGCTGCTACACGTAAACACAATAATGGAAATGGTTCATTAAGTGGTCCTGAATGATCACAATAAGGACATTGACATTCTCTTGGAGAAGAGTTTGATTGAAATGATCGACTGTTGAATCCAATCGATCGTCTAGGAGTAATTGAAGATGGTCGTCGGAATATCCTACCACAATCACTACTACTCTCATCTACAGAGATGCTTGTTGAGTGATTTTGTCGACCTCCATTTGTATCTTCACGATGTTCATGTTCGTGTTTATTTAATTTCATATCATGAATAGAGAGATGATTCCACCAGACATCATCCCAAGACATATAACTAGCTTCAATTGGCAAACGAAAGACTGAAGCACGTCTGCAAGGACGAGTTGATTGTTGACAAGATGGTTGATTTTGCTGTGATTGTTGATTTTGTCCAGGAACATCATCATCTACATCGTTTAATTCATGTATAGATGTAAGGAAATGACTAGGAATTGAATAGGACTCGTCACGAGGACAACGATTAGCACGTGCCCAAGTTAAAATCGATAACGCCATTGTCTTTTTGTTTCAACACTACAATCAGGGCTTAGCACTACACATGTCCATAATAAACAGACTTCTTCCCATAAGCGTACAGTCCATGGTGGAGATTGATTAAGAGAAGTAGATGAACTATGATTATAACCATTATTAACCGAGTTGGTTGGTAGTGCTTCGTTGGAATATTGACGATCAGTTAATGATTGTTGACCATGAGATATACGAGGAGTAGCAATTGTTTGTAGTCGACTAGGTACATCGATTGTTGCATTCCTTTGATTACGTCTGGATTTTATCACCTGGAAATTAGGAGGAATGACAAGTAGAATATATTCGGTGATTTATAAAAAAGGCATTTAACAATTCTAACGGAATATTAGAGAATAATAGTTGCCTTATTAAATGTACTTCATATATTGACATGGACAAATACTTTTCACATTCTAGACTCCGAGAACTAATTCGGCTACACATCAATGGATTAAGTAAAACTAAAAAATATAACCTTTTCAACTTCAGCTAAAATGGAAATATCAAAAATATATTCGAAGTATTACTAGCTAGGTGGGTACTTTAGTGGACTATGAAAACATTCAACCTGGGATATTACGAAATCTTTTGTAGAAACAGCTATGATATCTGTTAGTAATTCTAACCAAAAGGATAGGAAAAACCAGTAAATTTTGAAAGGTTTCACTAAACTAACAGATCAGGTGGAGACCCCATACACCAAAGAGTGACGACAATAATGATAAGAGTCTGGGCAATAATCTGTAGTAAAAATGGAGAACTAAGGTAACCAAGATAAAAAAAGGCAATAGAAAACATTAGGCAATATTTAAACTCATTGTGAAGACTGAGGCTAAAAAAAAAACAGATGTGAGTGAAACTATCTCTGAAAAAGGTGGAAACACGATCTACTATCAAACCAAGTAAAACATTGATGAACAGTATAATTTATTAACATCGACCTACTACTCTTCAATAGTATAAACGGGAGATCAATATCGAGCCTCGAATCGATTACAAAATTCGAAGCCATAATTAATTTGAAGAGAGAAAAAGAAAGCAATTGGTTCTAATTATTGAGCTCTAGAAGTTTTTAAATATGCTGGTCCATTTGATGCTTCAGTTAAGGATAATGATTTTCTGTAGGTGTTATGATTATATGAAAATATAAATTAAACAAGTTATATATTTATTATACTGTGTTTTATCATCAGATATGTTTGATATTACGTAGGCTATTCAGTAAAAACAAATAAACTTTAAACCCTCACTTACTAAAAGTGAATAAAATAAGTGAATACACAAATCTAACTATATTTCATTTTGTTATCTGATTTGAAAGCTATTTTGGAACGAAACGAGAAGCAGACAAACAAAGAACAAAGTCAAATCCATAATATAATCTAAGAAATATTTTTGATAAGTGTAAACATTTTGGTTGAACATATATAATAAGTGATATGGTGTAAATCTACTGTATACATTTCATACTACAATTTTACGTTATATTTCAAACGATATTTATTCTGTTCAACTTTCCTAAAAAAATCAATTATGGTTTTTAGGGAGCCCTCAAAAATGTCTTGGTACGGTCGAGGGTGGGTAGAGTTAGTTCTTCCTCTCGAAATACTCTCACATGGCCACACGTATACAGCTATCGTCAGGGAAGTCCTACTCAATGCCTTATCGTGGTATTACTGTTGTTTACGAAATTGAAGGAACGAAAAGTGAATGTACAGCACTTTAATCAGGTTGGTGGATATGGAGGATCTACATAGGGTAGTTAAAAAACCCTGATTCCAAACCAATGGTGCACATGGGTTCCAGGATCCTGAAGGAACAAATGCCGTATGAACCAATTACTGGCCATCGGCTACCATGGGACTGCATCTCCCGACGTTTCTCCATTGCCATTTGGGTTAAACCTTTAGATCGAAGTCTCGGGGTGTGGCTCTCCAAGAAAACCACCTACTTCGGTTTGGGCACTCAGGCAGTATCACAGCCCACACACACACACACACAAATCAAGTGACTTTTGTATGGCGCGTATGTATTTGGTGCCCCTTTTTTTATCAATATTTATGTATTCAAATAAATAAATGTTCATTTTGAGATGGTGGAGAAGATTTGTAGCTCAGGTGGATGATTTTGATGAAGTTTTGTTCTCTGAACTGGATGGCTGATTGATTCTTAATGACAATGACAAATTTAAGTTCAATAAGAACCAATTAACGTCGAGGTGTACAGAACAAACTGTGAAACGCATATGGAGAAATTCGAACACTTCACATTTCTATCTGAAGTTTGTGCTGATGATGATGTCGTTCAGAAGAACGATGAAAGGCTCCATGAGCAAACCATCCAGCTCAGAGAATAAAACTCCATCAAAAATATTCCCTTTCTCTGTTTTATTTTATTGTTTGTTATATCATATAAAATGACTTAAATATAAAAATATATTCATTTCATGCCTTATATGTAGTGATTACTAAATGGCCGAATGAACTTGACACAAACAAACAAACAACTACTAGTCGAATTATTATTACTATCCAATTTATTTCATTTGAAATAATAAAAAAAAAAACTAAACAAAGTCATTCAATCATAAACTTACTGGCAATTTAGAACAATTTAATAATTCTTCTGTTATTAAACTTAATAGACGTGGACCATTTGAATCACGTTTAGCTAATAATTCACGAACTTTAGCAAACATAGCAGGAATTTGTGTTCCATTACAATTGTTACCATTATTTAATTGATTATCACAATGATGTAAATTAGAATCAAATTGTGTATCTATTGAATTAGGCCAATAATAATAATGATGAAATGGTGAAGTTGATGAATAATAAAGACGATTATTATTATTAGTATGATTATTGTTATGATCATTATTATTATTATTATTATTATTATTGGCATTAAGATTAGTAGTAGTGTTATTCGATGTAGTAGACGATGATTGTGAATGATCAATTGACAATGGTATATAGTTATTAAGGGCTAAATCTAAGCCATTTAGAGTATAAGAATTGGTACATGTGTTATTATTCCCACCAATATTGCTGACGCCACCTCCAATAAGAAGATTTTGATTTAAAGTTAGTCGACGATATCTAAGTAACCAGTCTAAGCCAACTTCAGTTGAATCGTTATAGTCAATATCTAGAAAGAAATAGTTTATTGAAGAAAACGAAAGGTGAAACATACAAAAACTTATAAATCAAAAATACACTTTATACATGTAACACAACTAATCATACAGAGATGATGTACTGTAGTTGTATTATTCCCAGTGGCTTGAAACTATTGACTATTTCGATTATATTACATAAAGCAGTAAAAACTGGGTTAGCTACATATTTGAACACCGTTCCAGTTACTTCAATTTGAACATCTGAAGGTGGGTTACAACCAACTAACCTTCAAACAAACCACCTAAGCTTATATGTTCCAATATATATACGTGTATACACCGTGGACGAGTTGTGTTGAAGATTGTTTGGAATAAAAAAGAAATCCATATTAGCAACTAAGATGAAGAGATTAAAAGGTGGAGCGGCCAATATGCACTGCTAGACCAAATAGTGTTATAAATATACTTGGTTTGTTATTTACTGTGATTTAATAACCTAATGTACGTATATATGTAATCGACTCTTTGCTTACAATGGCTTTTAATATAACCATTACTTGGTTGCTCCAATCGGATGTGTGTAGACTATGCAAAACTGCAGTCTTAGATACCAATCTTCGCCATCATCTCAAAAGTATACGGTAACACATTGAATAGAATAATCTAAAAACTTAATATATAGAGTGAGATTACTAACACATAGATTGATAAGTATTTATTATTATTCTTTTATACCTTCACTAATTATAGATAATTTTAAATTGATGTTAGGAATGGATCGATGTTAGAACACCGTTGAAAACATGGACGGGACTCAAACGCAGGACCTGTTCCTCGTGCGCGGGATCGTGGATGCGCACTGCTGAGGAGTCTCATACCAGAACGAAACGGCCGTCTAGTGCTTCTAGGTTTTCAATGATGGTCTAGCATTGATCTATTCATGATAGCAATCTAAATTTAACAATCTTCACAACCCTATACTAATACACATAAATCATTTAAGATAACACAATCATAGTTTGGTTAGACAGTAAGTATATGGAGATGGGTTTTTTTTCCTCTAAGTTGGAAAACATAAATCGTATTATAAACTGGGATCAACCAGACAGCAAACTATTGACCGAATGAAATTCCTTTGCACAGGTCCACTATTCTGTTTGGTTTAAATTTGATACTAACTGCTCAACAAACATAAACAGTAAGACGTGTATTTATGTAATTCATAAATAAGTGAATAATGATGTTATTCTTGATTTATTCTAGATTATTGTTAATGGATAAATTAATTAAATAGTTATGCCTATCCGTTGAAATCTAGACAACGTGATCAGTAATAATGATAATAAATCATATGCTTGAACTATTGAAATTATCATTAACATAAAAGTTCAAATCGAAATCTGTCTTATAATCACATTACTATTTCATCTATTTATCCAATATATGCGTATATCAGTAATCTATAAAAGATAAGAATTTAGAGAGATATACTGTGGTGTATGCGCTACTTATGTTGACAAATATAAGTAGTATGTAGCACCAATCGGAAGTGGAATGTTTATTATCAATAGAAAATTGAATTGAAATGAACGACAAGGGCAACAGAAAGCAATTGTAATAATAACAGAATTGAAAGAATTATGAGGCATGGTAAAAGACAACTGAAGGAAGATGTGCAAATGATGTATTTAATGTATGATTTTCATATCTGAATTCTCGTTCACTACAAACACTGTCGAGTAAAGATATTTTATTTATATTATCATCAAAGCACTGATCTAATCCAAAATAATAAAGTACACACATATAAAAACCATTAAATACATTTATTCATTCATAATCGATATCCCATTAGTTCAGCTTGCAACATTTAACAGTATATAGTCAGTCAGTATGAACGTAGAACTTCGTACGTAAGTACATCAGTTCGAGTTGTCATACCACATTAGCACAGAGATGCAATTGTCGATATAGTTGATTAACTGAAAACACAATTATCTGTTATTGACCTTTATTTATAAAATTGGTTTTGAATACAGTGATGAATAAATTTGTTCCTAATGTTTGTTACATTACTATTAAATAATGATAACAACAATAAACATAACTGTAATCGCCCTTTATAAAGAATAGCATTATTATTTAATCCATTCAATTGTTGTACGATAAAAAACAACAAACCAATGTCATCTTTTTAATATTGATTAAATTCTATCAATCAAGACTTCTAACATAATGATTAGTTTAGATAAAATAACTTTACAGGGTACAATGTTTGATCTCATATGGTGGTTAAGAGTAAATCAGTAGGACATCTTGTTTCATTAGTTTAGTTCTAACTGGTATTTGTATTAACGAATGTATTTAGGGTCTGAAGACAAGTGGTGTTTTTGATGAGAGTAGAGAACTCATGTTACTACGTACTATAACGGTTAAAGAAAATCACGGCACTAAACTATTCGAATCCTGACTGACTAACCACCACCTACCATAGAGTAGTAACCAACAAGTCATGATAAATTGAAGTAAACACAAAGTGAATCTCTGGTTCGAATAGTAGAGTAGTAACATTTCTGGCCATGAAACTGGATTATAAAGAGGATTCGACTGCAAACAAGGTCATATATAACACGAGGTGTATAACACTGACAGCAATAAATTGTAGTAGAAGAATGTAAAAACAACTAGGAACTTGTCAATCGATTATTTAACAAGATGGATTTTTGAGTTCTGAGAACTGAAAGTAACTACTACTCACGGGAGCAACTTCCTAGACTAACAGCTAATTTTTAATGATAAAACGACACTTACCATTTTGACTTCCCATCCCTGAATCGATACCAAGTGACGTGGACGAATTAGGATATGATCGATGTGAACTATTAGATCTTTGTATAAATGAAGATGATGTTGATGATCTGTTTGTGGTATTACTCTGTTGTTGTTGTCCAGCAGAATTGAAGTTTGAAACACCATTTGGTGAATTACATCGTCCACCAGATGATAATCGTAATTATTTACATTGTGATTTGTTCCATATAATCCATTACTTGCAAGATTAGTTAATTCCACACGTAGTTGTTCACGTACACCTGCTTCATCAAGATACCATGCGGCAACATCTTGTAGACTACCACCAGCTGTTGGATCAGGAGCGCCTATTCATTATTTTTATTTCATTGAAAGAACAAATTTTAAGAGTATAATTCATATATTTATAATTTAAATAAATGGTTGCAAGTATTATTAGTGGACAATAAAAACAACACATCAAATGGATTTTGGTAAACAATAAGGTTTTTCGTATGAGAAAAATATTCATTTGATATTTTGTGATAAGATTCTATTCATTTATTTAGTGTTGGTAAGATCTTTAAAGATCACTGGAACATCAGTTGGTCAGTTATAAGGAACACTAAACCAGGCACAATTACACATCCGTATAGTCATGATATTTCTTAGAGTTGTAGATATAGTAACAATATTAGTTGTAATAGAAAACATTAGATATAGGTAATATGATTCAAGAATGAACTGGAAAAATAAAGTGTAGGATAATTTTGAAACTTAAGATCTAAGGAAAAGAAAGAATGCATTTGAGACATCGTGACTTATTTTGAACTATGATGACCAACATTTCTAACCACTGGTCAAAGTAATCGCGTGGGCTTTAACCGTATAATCCTGCTTCGGTTTGGGCACCGTGGCAGTATCACAGCCCTCATACATATCAAATGAGATTTGTGTGGCGCATATGTATTTCGTGCCTCCTTGTACCAATATCTATGTATTCAAATAATAATAATAATAATAATAATAATAATAATAATCTGCATCAACCCAAACTGTTCATATTAACAGTCGTCATTGACTGATACCACATCTTGGTTTGACTGTCCCTAGCTTCATTCCAACCGACTTCTCTACACCAGATAACATTCCTCGTCGAGGCACGCAGTGGTTAGGCATGCTACTAACTTATCAGCCGACCCATCACTTTTACATAGCATTTTATGCCTAACCCCATATTACTCACATAGTGGTCCCAAAATATACCAGTGATGCTTCGAAGACACTTATGATTGAGTATTAGTAATCTACGAATAGGGTAGAATATGTCTAGAGAGTTGAAGAATTTGAAATATAAAACCCAAAATACTTTTAGTCGTCACATACATAACTTGATAATAACTGGTACCTGTAACGAAGTTAATTTATGCTGTTCTCTGCTGTAACTTATATACACTAGGTACAGGTTTATGCACTTATGACTTTAACCTACACTTCATACACGACTGTTATTGATATTAACCAGCTATCCAGACAGAAATAAATGGATGCGCAGTTTTGAAATGTGACCTAATGACTGTGAGCTGAATGTCTTAACTATTATGCTAACTCACCACTGGAATTCTGTATAAGATAGACCAACACACTCTAATCATGTACAATATGTGGTCTATAAATGAAATAATCAACCACTATATATTCAGTTATAATAAACACTGTTTAATTCGGACGCGTATCCATAAAATGTCAACAGTTTGTCAAGCAAAATTAACCAACCATCAATTTCAATCTCCATGGTTATCATCTAAATATTAGTTGAAGGTAGCAAATGTAATAAAAAAAATCAACAGTTATGTACAGACAAAATCACATTTGTGTATAATTAGAAGCCTGAGAAAATGGTATTTAGTCAAGCGCACTTCTTTTGTGTGTGCACGCACAGGCATGCTAGTAGTCACTAAGGCTAAAAAAGGATAGTGATGAGTTGTCAAGACAATTGGTAATTATTTATTACGTAATTACATTTAAGCCTGACCATCGCTATCTAATCTAAGTGTTTAACACTCTAATAGGACGTACACGTATACTTCTAATCTGATAAATACGCTACAAAGAGGGAATCTATAAATTACTTGAGAGAAAATCTATAATTATATACGTAGAAAAGTGTAATTATCAAAAAAATCTCCCAAATGTATACAACTTATTAGTGGATCCTTTTGACTAAACAGTAAAATCGAGTTTATTCTAGCTGACTTAATAAATAATAATGGTAGTCAGATTACTTGTCTAATAAATTTGCACACTGTGTGTAATTTTCTATTTCATTACATTTGTAGTCTGTGTGAAGAAATACACGTACAAAACCGAACACATAAAAGAGACAACTGATTGTCCCCAAATGCCCTGGTATGGCCGAGAGTGGTGAGTCCGCTTTTCCTCTCGAAATGCCCACATATGGTCATGCATATATGGTCATTGCTGGGGATGTCCTACTCGTCACCTTCCCGCAGCAGGGGTGTTCCTTAAAAATTGAGAGGACAAAAAGCGAATGTCCGGCACTTGAACCACGTTGATGGATATGAAGGATCCAACTAGAGGAGTTGGAAAATCCTTATTTCAAACTAATGGTGTACATAGGGAATAAGTGGCGTACGAACCCATACTTAGCAATCGACTACCTCATTCCTTAACTTGGCCTCACCGCCTTGCGGTTTAGACCTCTGGGTCAAAGGATCAGGGAGTGTCCCCCTAAAACAACCACTTATTTCGGTTTTGGAAACCAGGGAGTATCCCAGCCCTCATATAAACTTTGTATGGTGCAGATATATTGTGGTACCCCTTTTTATCAACGTTTGTGTTTAAATAAATTAGTTATTAATATATTAAACCGGTGATTGATCAACTGACCAAATAAATAATCAACCAATTAGTCAAACTGATTGGCAGGATACACATAGTGAATTTGTTTTATAAACATGAAATCATGTGCATTGTCATCAGTAAGCAATCAGTAGGTATAAGGAAATGATAGCAACTAATAACATTAAAGAGACATAAACACGTAAGTGCACACACACACACATAGACTATATCGGTGCTTGTAGATACCAATAATACTAACCGGTCAGTTGGTGAGAAATTAAAAAAAACTACCATTATAATAAATGATGATCGATTTCGTGTTACATTGACTTTTGATTTGAGCAACCTATCCTTATTATTTATTTCCCAATTAGTAATAATAATTGGTGTACAAAGTTTTGAAAGTATGTACTTTTGTAGCTGAGTTTTAAATCTATCAATAGTAAATGAGATGAGTGACAGAAGGGTATATATATATAGTTGAATTTTCCTTGTGTAGTGACAAATGCCATGATCGTGTTCAGTCTTTTAGTGTTGATTGAGTCCTATCAAAAAAATGTAATATGGTCGCTAGTTCAAGTGAGTAGACATCATTTGTACTATATTTTAATGCCAAGTGATTGGAGGTGGTCATTATGATATCCTGCGCCTAGGTTTCGTTCTAGGTGGTACTAGTCAGCAAAGTGTATCTGCAATCATCAGCAGATTCGAAACTGTATCATCTATTTCCGTAGACTCATACTTAACATCTCAGTTATGTGTGTACATTTGTGAATGGCGGGTCGTCAAGACAAATGGAAATACATGTTAACACTGAAATAGAGCATACAAGGTTAACTGATGGTAATCTATGATTTCATATATATAGAGATAGAATGCGATCAAATTGTCGATATAAAGTGGAGTCTGAAACACGAGCGCTTTAGTGAAACTTAACAGAAGTAATAATACCTGCTTACAAGCAACTTTACAACCACAAGACATTAATATTTAACTCAGTCATATTAAAGGTACCTGAAGTAAACCAGTGAGTAATGAAATCAAACCCTCAACTAATACCTCTTTGTTTTAAACAACTAAGTATATTCTCACATACAAAATAAGTAAAAACTAAAAAGCACCTTTATGAATTCGAATATAATTGAATTATATAAATTGGGTCGATTACGACGACAATCATGTTTGACAAGCAACAACTTCTCCAGGTGTCTTTGTTGAATAGAACAATAATTATGACCTTATTAAATGAAAGATCTTTTCATCGAATAAATTAAGTTTAGAGAATGATTGTACTACTACTATCAAGTGATTCAATCCAATTAAGATTTTATCACTGGTACTACACACATATATATATTTATGTCACTAACAGAATATATATATGTATTTAATGCGTTCTGATAAGGTCAAGATAAAATTATAATGGTGGGAATAGGACAAAAGAGAAATAATAAGTAACCTTAGAATTTATTTATTTATATAATTAATGTACGCTACAATGAATGGAAGCACGCACAAACATATATATATATATATATATATATATATATATATATATATATATATATATATGACAAGGAGGAAATATCGTATCTAATGTTAGGGTGAGAAACTATTGTAAAGAACATATGTGATAAAACACGTCATGAATTATGAATATAATAAAAGCTGATGGACAGGCAGGTAGGTAGATAGGTTTATAATCACACAAACAAAGAATGATTCACCTACAAAACACATCTTGTGTACAATTTCAAATGGTACAAACGAATACACACACAAAAAAAAAACTAAACATAGTGGTGTTTTAGTTGAAAATTGAAAAAGAGAATACTAGTGAAAACTATCATCATAAACAATGTGTAAGAAAAAGGAACAATCAGTGAATATTACAACGGTATCTAAGTGATAAGAAATAATTGTGTCAATCAACCAATTAGAAATAAGCTTTATCTTGGACATTTCTGATTGGTCACTTTTAGATCGCTTACAGACCACATATACACACTTAAAAGACAGCTGATTTGACGTACAAGATAGATAGATAGCTAAGTGGATTGTAAAGGATTATTATTATTATTATTATTATTATTATTATTATCGGATATGACTAGGATTGAGCACATATTGAATTGAAGAACAGATTAAAATAATTAGACGCAAAAGAAAAAAAATCAGTTGTACAACTTACCCGATGTTTTATTGATGTTTGATTCTGGTTGAAGTAATTGATCAGCTAATTGTTGTGCACTTGGCAGGATTTTATTTGGATGTGAAGCAATTAAGTATTGAGCGAATTTCTGCAGTTGACTACGATTCATACGGACCAAAGCATCTATAAATATAAATAGATAGATATATCAATGGGACAAGAAAACAATGCTGAATGAATTAACGACAATAATAAAAATAATTCAAATCTTAGGAAAGAACTAGACAGTGGAGAAAAACAGTAGCACAAGACGGTTTATAACTTTTTGGGTACACTAAATAAATCATTTCTTGACCAGATTTGAAACATTTCCGTTATTCCTATTTGTTTTAATACTCATATAAATTAAGAAATAAATAACAAAAACTATGTTCACTCTTAATACTGATTAGAAAACATGTAAATGTTAATATCTTATAAATAGGCGTGCACCACACCATGGAATCATGGTTGAGGACATGAAAACAAAATGTTGAGATCAGTTAGTGAAATCATCTCCTATTGGTCTAAAACAACAAGTCGAGATATTAAGTCCCGTCTGATATGTATAACATACAGTTGGAGAGTTTAACGCAGTTTGAAATAGGTTTCCGTAATTGCCCGGATAACATCACGAGCGCTTATACAACGTGTTGGTCATTATACTTCATTGTACTGACTGTAGCTGGTACGGCAAGGTGGTTGGCCTAATTTAGTATATTGTCTGGAATACTTGTTCTTTTAGATCCTACCAAGCTGAAATTAGTTGGAGGGTAATAAGTTTAAAAGTAGTACACTTTTAGTTGGAAGGTGAAAATGAACTATTAGATTTACTGGGATGTGAAGGAAGTAGTGTTTCCCACTGATATTCAGCATTTTTAGCGATATCGTATTTTAACAAGGAAGATGAGGAAGGCTCAATTGTGAAATCATATTACGATAACCCAGAGTTCCAACATACTAGTGGTAAAGTTATAAAAACCCAAACCAAATACATCAAAAACCTCTAACAAAAGGACTATACATGTGACTGATTTCAAGGAGCTCTTCGGTTACTCATCTATATTTGTAAGGCCTTCACTAATTCAGTTTCTTTGTCGAATCTCTAGGGAAGAAAACTCTTCCCTAATAACGGCAGTTGGAAAGCATCAATCGTCCTGACAACTATAATAAGGAGTTAGCAATTCCTGGGACAAAATCATTGCGATACAAATCTAAGTAAAAGGTCAAATAATTGCTGAATGAGTTACATCCACTGAACATCAAAATGAGGTTCTGTAGTGATTCAAGGTTTAACGAAAAATACTAGAATGAATGTAGTTTAAAGATGAGAGAAATGAAATGCAATTTTACGCTTGACTAATTACAAATTAGAAAAATGGGGAAAATAAACACATCACTATTCTTATGGATGATGAATAAAACTTGTTGCCATTATTGACAGAGAAAATAAAGATAAATGACCATGTCCAATTATATATTTTCTATTATAGTCATTATTATTATTATTTAAACACATAAACATTGGTACAAGGAGGCACCAAATACATATGCACCACATAAATCATCCGATTTGTGTGAGGGCTGTGATACTGCCCGTGTGCCCAAACCGAAGCAGGTGGTTTTATTAGAGGGTCACACCTTGAGCCTTTGACCTTAAGGTCTGATCCACAAGGTAGTGGAACATCGTGAGGAGATGCAGTCCCATGGTAGCCAGTGACCAACGATTGGTTCATACGCCATTTGTTCCTTTAGGATACTGGAGCCCATGTGCACCATTGGTTTGGAATCCGGTTAAAGCGCCGGATATTCGCTTTTCGTCCTCTCAATTTCGTATGTATCATTAATCAGTTGCTTATATCAAACCATTTACATCTCAACGGATAAAGCATACAAGAAATTAATATGACTGGCATTGATCGCATAGCTAAGTATTAAGATTGGACAACATGAATTAATTAACAAACAACATAAAGTTGATACAATGAACGCTATGAGTAATGGTTATTTAGTTTACATAATTTGTTTTATTAAATAAATGAAATGTATGAAAGAAAAATGAGACTGAATAATAACTGTCTAACTGAGACCAGTTTTCTTTCTAATGGACTAGATACAGAGAGATTAGGAAAAATAATCTATCCTTAAGCTCATTTTTCATAACATACGTTATATATATCACTAGGTTTATTAGAGATGGAAAAAACAAACAACTATGATCTCAATTGGGATGCCATTGAAAATAGTAGAGGAAAACACAACTGCTTTGTCCTAGTATGGAACTCTTCAACAATGGGCACTCATGACACTGGCAGGAACGGAACGCATGACCTCATATACTAGAGTGAAACAGTTATTCAATGTTCTTCAGCTTTCATTGGTACCACAAATGAAATTAAACTGCGATATCACCTGAAAAGTAAACTAAACTGCATGAAACCACTTTAACTAAATGGTTCATTTATCATATCAGTCAATCAATTATGACCAAAGAACACCTCGGTACATGACTATGTTGGCTTAAGTTGCAATATCAAATTAACAAGATGTATGGTAAGAGATTGAGATAAAATGGTAGCAACGGTAATGAGAAAGACTAAACCTTGGGAATATAGTACAAAAAGACTGGGGTGGGAAGGCATGTGTGAGAAGATACTAAAATTTAAGTTTGAAGAAAAGATAAATTGAAGAGTGAATGGGCATTTCTGCCACTATAACTGATTCAGAGACATATCAATTGAAATCTCTGGCCACTGATTACAGCTATCTTGCGGACCCCAACCAGTTAGTCTTTATTTCTAGAATGAGTTGGGGCAACAGTTAATAATTTCATACTGACGTCACATTCCGTTTTAGACTCTCGTAGCTTTTCTCCAAGCTACTCCTATTCCAACAAACACCATCCATCGATGTAATTGGTGATTAGTTATACGTAACACATGTCCCGACTACCTGACTTATTAATTTATATTTAGATAAATAACTTGTTACAGCCAATCAACATATGGTATAGAAGAATAAATAGAACCTTCTGTAAACCATATCAACTGTGAGATGACATAATTGATGAAATCAAGTTTATATCATAAAAGTATGTTGAGTAGTATTTTTATTAAAACGTGTTTATAATATTATGATCAGCTGATGTATATACGCATAGTTTATTTTCAAGCTAATAAGATTACAGTCTATTTAGTTGAAACACTATTGGATTGATCCAGTCGATTAAGTTCGAATCTCTTGACATGAATAAAAACTTTAAGTGATCAAATAAATAAATGTAGTTATGATTTTTAAAACGATATATGGACACTATTTTGGTTGTCTCTATTCATACTACATTGAAATACATTTGAAAAGTCTTAGAAACAAAATTAACTCAATATTAAAATTAATTGAGGGAGATTAATGCTTAAGATCCATTTATAACAACACACAAGAATTAACAGTACCAGATGGGTTTTGTGGATATTATAGTAATTTCAATGATTAAGATCGTGAGTCAGTTGAAGCTAGACCACCATGGAAAATCTGGAAGCACTGGACGGCCGTTTCGTCCTATTGTGGAACTCCTCAGCAGTGCGTATCCACGATCTCGCCCCCTGCGAGATTCGAACCCAGGACCTACTGGTTTCGCGAGCGAGCACTTAACCACTAACAGTACGATTATTAGTAAACATACAAACATGCACACATTCGCACACATGAACCAATTAAGACACACACACAGAGAGAGAGAAATTATTCAAAAGGAAGTTTTGAACAATTTTACAGTTAAAGTTTGTTCGAAGATTAACGGACACAATAGAGAAAGGGATGAAGTGGGAAGAAAAGATGTAAAGAAATAAATACTTTAACATATGTAATAAACATTTTAATAACACATGATTCATTCATATACTTAGATGAAAGATTAGGAGAAACAAGCATAAACATGCTCAATCTAAAAACTTGATGTAACTCAACTCTACGTCTACCAAGTATAAATATATAGACTAATTACAATATAGTTACTCGGCTGTCCAAACTAAATGACGTACAACAGTGTTCGCATAGAAAACCAATTACTAGGTGAAATTTGAGTATTTTCTTTTCTTTAATCTACTCTAAGATTTGGAGTTTCTAGTTTATATTGCTGAAAGCATCGTAATTGTAGATTACCAGTGGGCAGTAATGAAACACTTATCGAACTCTTTCAGGTTATGAATCATTTCCCCACTTATATCATTGTTCATGACTAAAACAGTCTTAAATACTTGACATAATTATCAACGTTCATTTGTATGTTGAAGACAGATTATTTTAATTTATATTTGTTAACGAATTAACGAGACCGATCGCCTAAAAACACCTTGATTTCAAATCAATGGTCCACGTGGGCTCCAGGATCATGAGAGAAATGGCGTTTGAACTTATTCTTGGTCATGAAACCACATCTAACGTTATTCTACTGTCTTGTAGACTAGACACCTGAGTCAAAGGCTCGGAGAGTGGTGTCCCAGGAAAGCTACCTGGTGCGGTAAGGGTTAGGTTGGAGCATGTGTATTTTATTTCTCTTTTGTACCAATGTTCATATATTTACTAATGCTAAACATTCTGATTGTCACCCAGTTTTCTTATCAGCCCATCATTACTACCACCGTTCCACCAACTTTTATATAGAGCAATCTAAGCAGTATTAGTTCTCACGCAAAAGGTATGGCACAAAGTGGACTGGTGGTGGTGTTCGACTTTCAGACAATAAATCACAGGTTGTAACACCACAGCATCAATAACTTTGCTTTGGGTAGCCGGGTAGTAGTAGTATCAACTCTCACATTTGAAGTGTAGCTTGAGATTAGGAAAGAGTATCTGTAAACCGTAAACCAACTAACAAAAATTAATGCACATTTTTGCAACACATAGAATAAAAACGTTTTACGAATGAATGTTGGTAATACATTCTACATTGTCCCTAAATGCCCAGGTATGACCGAGAGTACGAAGGGCCTGCTTTTCCTCCCGAAATGCTCTCACATGACCACGTTCATACAACCGCTGACAGGGAAGTCCTACTCACTGCCTTCTCGCGGTATCACTGTTGTTTACGAAATTCAGAGGACGATAAGTGAATATCCGACACTTTAATCGGGTTGGCGTATATG